GAGATGGACACAAAGGATTACATAAAAATAAGTAAAGTTGGTAGCTAGTTCCACAGAGAAAAGGAAAAGAATATGTGAAAGAAATCAAGTTAGAAGAAGGGGAGAGTGTAGTAGCCAGACCAAATTCTTTACAGTGAGAAATAAGCCCAAATATGAAGAAGGAGAGGGGATTAGCCAGTGCAACCTGGGACAAGAAACCTAAAATCTCTGGGTCTTCATATCTTCATTTGTACAATGGGATATTGATCTAGGTGTTGTACACTAAAGTCCTTTTAAGTTCTTAAATTCTGTAAACCAAGGGTGTCCATACCGCGGCCTGTGGGCCATAGTCAGCCCAGGATGGCTATGAATGCGGCTCAACACAACATTGTAAATTTACTTAAAACATTACTTAGTTTTATTACTTAGTTATGTACATTTTCTATATTAGTGACCACAAACTTGGGACCTACCTGCTCAATGATTTTAAAAGATTATCGAACGCTCCACTGCATAAATTGAGTTATTATGTGAGGACTTTTTTTGCTTATCTGTGGGGGCGGATATCACAAAAGTTACGCACAGACCTTTTTTTGCTCTTCAGTTTTTTGTTAGTATTTGTGTATTTAACGTGTGGCCCAAGACAACTCTTCTTCTTCCAGTGCAGCCCAGAGACACCAAAAGGTTGGACACCCATGCTGTAAACAATGGTTTTGCTGTTGTCAACATTAGAATGAATGTAGTCATCTGGTTAGTGTTCATTAAGGCTATGCAATGTGTCATTGTGTTGCTAAATGCCATGGATGCCACAGGATTTAAGAGATGTTCATTATGATAGCAATAATTTGAATGTATCCCATTATACCCATTCATTTATTCAACAAACACATATTAAGCACCTACTATGTGCTAGGCACTACTATATAACTGTAGTGTTATAAAGATGACAGTCTGATGAGGAAAGAGAGCCATTTTAACAAAAAGTAACACATTCTATTCTGGAACAGGAAGTTGTTTGAGACGCATGGAACGGAGAAATCAACCCATTGAGTGGGGAGTGCCCCAGGGGTTCTAGATAGACATTCTTTTTTCTACCCACAGAGATAAACTTCTGACAATTCTTTAAGAAAATTATTGTTTCATCTTTGAGAAAGTGACAGTAAATTTTACTTATTAAATATGAGGGATTAATTTTTCTCTTACTATTATTATTATTTTTTAATTTAAAAGAAAAACATTTAGCTTATCTGTTTTCACCTGGTAAGTATATTAAAGGAAAACTACTTACGTTTGGAAAGCTTCCATTTTTACAAGGAAAGTAAAAGGGTAGGGTAATGTTTAATACTATTGGGGAAATTTTAAATCATGAAGCTAAAGAGGACAAAGAAGGCAATTTATAAAATGTTTACTTCATTAGAACTATGGTTCTGTTAACAAATATATTTGAAAAGCCCAAGCTTTTCCACTAGTCTTTGTGCTTCCGTTTCCAGGTCAGTAAGGAAGTGACAAACATGACGGGAATAGCTGCCATCTCTTAGAAGCCGATTGTGTGCCAGGCTCGGTAGTAGCGCTTGTTCAAATATTATCTAATTTAATTCTTACAAAGCTCTGTGGAATAAACTGTGACTGTGCCTAATTTAACAGATGAGGGAACTGAGACTTGAAGAGATTAATTGTGCAATGTTTAATGCCAGTAAGTGGCATTAGGGGAAAAACTCTTGAACTTGTCTTCAGAAGGCCTGCATTTGAACACCAGAGGCAGGAAGCATTGGCTGGCTCTCTGACCTGAGTAAGGTCAAGCAGTTACGTATTCAGTATAACTACTACTATTTTGCTTTTTACATTGCTTAATGAGCAAAGGGTCATGTAATTTCTTTGCTATCTATGTAAATGTCTTCTTAAACATTGTGTTTAAAAATATATATATCCACTATCTCTGAACCTCCACTGAAATGAAAAGTATACACAAAGCACTTTTGGACCTGATCCAAATATTTTTAAAAATACACTTTTGTGTGACTTGGTACTCTATATAAAATTCTTCCTCATGGTCTCAAGTTTCAAAGGATTCAGAAGCTGTTTGACTAGGCATATCATGAAACAAGAGATGTAACGCATTAGTTGAGAGTGGTATAAAGACAGTATTAACAGCGGCTCTCTCTTCCTGTAGCTGTATTTGAAGAAATTACTATCCCCTACTTTGGGGACGGTATATGATATACAAGTTAGTGTCTTAATTGTACATTTTTAGCCAACTCAATGGACAAGTAAAGCTTGTTTTCTTGGGTAACCAAATTGCTTCAGTAAAAGAAATTAAAAGGAATAAATTAGTACATGTGAACTTTTTATCTAAGGCTGTGCCTTTTTTCCTGGGAAGCTGAGAGTTTTCTTTTTTATAACCAGAAAAATGCTTTGAACCAGACACTTTGCACAGGGATCTACACTTGAATTTTCTTTCCTGATAATCTCACTTAAAGAAAAAACAGATTAACTGTTTTTGTGCCCATATATCTACAGACTCTCCTACAACAAAACTGTGAGGAAGCTTTCAGAAAAATAATTAGGTAATTCTTCTGCATGAGACTCAGGATCATATAATCAAAGTGTTGAACACTAAATCAAGGTGGCTAAGGAGAACTTGAGAATACTGTGCATATTTGGTGTTATTTAGGCTTGGTAACTTAAGAGTATAAGTATAGAAACTTAATGAAAAATGGGAGATAGAAAAAGTGTTTTTGCAGTAATGTGAATTTTGAACAATTGTCTGTCACTGAGAGAAGCCCATACTGCTTATCAGTACAATTCAGGAACTTGAGAGTCAGATTTACTAACTTAATCATCCAACTGCAAAATTCTTATAAAATTTTATGAGAGTTTCAGCTTCTTTAAATTCATTCTGGGCCATATTTGAGACATAAAAGTTTAAATATGAGAAAATAATCTAATATTTAAAGTAAGTCATGCAGATTATCTGCTTTAATGATTAGTATGCTGCATGGTTTATTTTTGCATTATAAAAGACACCTGAAATTATGTCAGGCCACTTGGAAGTGTTTCTCTGAAGGACTGAAGAATATGAATGTTCAACCCAAATGCTGTCATAAAAAGAACACTTTTTATTAGGTGAAAAGTAAAAAGAACAGGTATTTGGAACAATTTTAAAATAAATTAAGACTTACAGACATAGCATCATAATCCTGACCCAAATCACATTTTAACATTAACTTCCACAGGAAAAATGTTGGCCTTGTGGTTTTAGTACTTGAAAGCTATGAGCAACTTTCTAAGAATATCAATTTACAATTAAAATGAAGTGAACTACCAAGTTTTGCTTTTTTTAAAAAACTAGATAGTGGATGCAAATAACCTGGGTAATTCTGATACCTCCTGCCAGAGATCCCTTCGCACTGTATTCCCCCAGAGTGTATGGCAATGGAAAGGCTGGAGCCACAGTTTTCCCTGTTGACAAAACTTAAATCTGATGTAAAGCCTCCCAAGAGTAAATTTTTAAGATGTTAATACACTTTCAAAATAATATTTTCATACTCTGGGTGCAATTTAGACTAAATGGTTTTTATGTAGCTCATGATAGAACGATATCTGTCTAATAATAACTTGAAACCACAGTTCAAGTTTATTCTTCATCAGCTTTAAAACTGCTATCATTAATAATGAGTAGGTATTGACCTTTTGGCTGAACTGAATTCTGTGACTAGATGTTAGAAAGATGTTATTTCTCATCGGAAAAGGACTCATGAATATGGACAACAGTGTGGTGATTGCTGGAGGGGAGGGAGGTATCAGGGGACTGAATTGTAATGGAAAAAATACAAATAAGATTAAATCTTTTTAAATAAGACATCTCCATGTATAAATATAGTGTTCGGGAAACAGCTTTGATTCTTCTACTGTATACATTTAAAAAGAGCTGAGTCAGCAGCTTGCATAGTAAAATTTATGATTGTATAATTCCTTTTCATGGTCCAACAGTGAAAAACATAAAGCTGTTGGAAGCAAAAATAACTGAAAGAGATGTGTCTAAAACAGCTAGCTATTGTCAAATTTGGAATTCTATTTGGGTAATCACAATACACACAGGAGAATGCTTCTCGCCAGACTTCCACTGTCATCTGACCTTCACAAGTCATACTTTTAACAGTGGATGCAGTTTACTGAGACTACACTTTTGACCTTGACAATATAACTTGATGTTTCATGTCTCTTAGCAAACTTGTAATGCCTCTGGTCCCTAAACTGAGTTGACCTAAAATTACTATCATCATATGTTTAAACTGTTAAATTGCGTAACACTTCTTTTAATTATTTAGCATACAAGGGCAAAGAGAGAAGTTACAGCTCCTTTAGAACTACCTTTTCCTAATTGCATAAGTCCCTTAGCTTTCCTAATGCAGGATGTCCCTCATCTGAAGCTGGGACTGATGAAAAAGCTGCATTGTACTGCAGCCCCAAATCTTGCCACAGCTCTAAGGCTTAGGATTCAGCTGAGCCAAAGAGATATATGCAGAGGCAATGTACTGGTCTATCAGAACTAAATATTTACCAAAGGAGACTGGAATGGGGTAAGTTACTTTTTCTTGAGCCTTAGCTGGTCAGACTTTTATTTTCACATTTTTCCTAAGACGATTACTTTAACAGCATGACCTTACATTGTAAGTTTTACTTCCTATTTCTCCTCCCCCCACCCCCCTGCCATCGCCTTGCATTTAAATAAACTTTAAGCCCTCTGTTCTACTTAAAAGATATCAACTGTACTAAACAGCCTTGACTAATTGCACCAACTCCCTGTAGTGGGACATTCATAAGCCACTTCAATTGTCCCCAATTCTTAACTCTGCTGTAATGCTAGAGCATTCAAAAGCCAGGGAACATGTTCACCAATTAGCAGAAAGGAAAAGAGAAAGTCAATGCAGCAGAGCTAAAATGAAGAAACACTAACAAGCATCTCAACTCTAGGTCATTTGAAATTCATTTGACTTTCATAGGCGAATCTGTTTTCTTACCTTGGATGTGAATAACTCTGCCATGATCTAGGCTATAGTTGTCTGAAGAATAATCAGCCCAGCAGATTGAAATCAGCACCAGAAGAAGTAGGCTCCTCATCTTTGTAGCCAAAGACTCTTCTTCACTGTGAGAGCATCACATACAAAGAGGCTTGTGAGATTTGGAACCCTTTGGAGTGTTGCACTGCACAACTTATTGCCGCCTTATCATCATAGAATGGGTCTGTAAAAATATTTAACCCAATCTGTTCAGAAGGTTTTTGTAGCTGTCTTTGGGAGCTGAAGGCTGCAGCTTTGAACAATTCCAGTTTCATTTATGTAGCCAGAGTCCAAATAGTGTTTAACTCTATCTTTGCAGAATTGCAAAATTTAAGATAGTATAGTTTTGATAATAGAGTTATAGCAAGGTGCAAAGACATGTGGCAGGATATAACAGACTTTTAAAAAATTGCTTAAACCTCTTAATTAGAAGTGTAATAACACAACAATTTCATGTATTTACATGTGAATATTTATCAGCCAGTCTAATTGGAAACAGAATGTTAAACAAGGGCAAATGAATATTTGCATGAAAGTTAACATCATCGTTCACTTTCCATGTGGTTTCCTAAGCAGTTTAGATTTTTGCTTGTTCTAAAAGGACAAAAAAAAAAAAAAAGGCTGATTAAGCAGAAGCAGCACATTTGTTACGTATTCACTTACCATCTTAAACACTGCTTGGGTCTATGGTGAATAGTTGAAAATTATGGACAAACTAGGTTAGAGTTGTACATGCTACCACTGCAGTCATCTTGATTGATTTTTCATTCATTTCCACCTAAAATGCTGACGTAACAACTTTGAGTGCCAGGTAGGGTCTCTGCAGTCAGCAGAGCCACACTGCAGGGAAAGTCCCTGCCAGCCTCGCAGGGCAATTAGGCAAATGAAGAGCTGAAACCGACAGTGAGGAGCAGCTCTTGTCCTAAGTGAAAGAGGCAGAGCCATCACTTGGCTGTCCTTTACTGCAAGACCGACTGATAAAAGGGGACCAAATCAACCCCCCCCAAACTTCGTCACTGGAAGGAGCAAAAAGTCATTCCAAGTGATACAAACCTCCTGACCTTTGCAGTTTCTGCCGGGCAAGAGTTTCAGTGTGGCCGCTCTGTTTCAATGTGGAATCTGAGGCAAATATTAACAAGAGCTTTCTTTTTCTCTCATGCGCACAGCAGCCTTCACAATACTTGGCTATTTTTAAAACTGAAATTGCACAGTACTGGCTTCTCACACTAATTTGTTTTTTCCAGGAAAGCCTGACTCCCTGGAATACTTATTAAAGAGCTCTGAGTCTGTTCCTGGAGGTCCTCTCAGGCCAGCCTCTACTCCAGAGCCTAATGCGCTATTTGCACTATTCGCAGACATCCCCTAAGTCTGTCTTGGGACCACAACACCTGCCTTCGTTCTTCTCCCCTCTAAAAATTGGCGATACTTATTAAAAGTTATTGTGATACTTATGGCTTTAGTTTTTCATGTTTGCTTTAACCCCTTTCTTTTTCTCCGTTATGCCACAGAAAGAAGATAGTGGATAAGCAAACTGAGAAACTTCCGGGAAATGAAGTGTCACCTTCAAAATTCTACCTGATATACTCATCATATTTTTAGAAGTTTACTACTGACTTATTTCTCTGAGGGCTTTTTTGAAATCATTATTTTTTGATGCTACTGACTTTTGACAATGGAATACTCTTAACAAATATTATCTGTTTTGATCCCAGAATATGCTTTGGGTGAACAAATATAACGAAGGTGACCATTTTGGAATTTAGAATTAGGACAATTATATACACAACACAAAATAATGGGCAAACCAGCACAAATTTATATAGCTCCTTTAATTCCATATGAAAGTATTAAAAATTAAACCACTAAAGGCTCATTTCATTCAGGAAAGGTATTAACTGTCCAAAGACCCAATTACATATGCGAACATGGTGGTTATAAATAACAATAATAATAGTAACTCTTTTAAACTGAATGTCTACTATTTGCCAACTGTTTGCTATGCTAAGTGTTGTGCATGCAATGACTCATGCAATCTTTGCAATAATACTGCGACAAATATTTCCAATTTTCCTGAGCTGGTTTCTTACTGAAGGTCATGCATCTACTAAGCGGCAAAGCTTGTATTTGCTTTCAAACAAAAGCAACATCTTGTCTGAGTTGTGCTTGTTTTTCCAACAAAGAAACTTGTTATTTGTTTTTTTGCCTTTTTAAATTTAGGCTCTTCAACTTGAACCTACTATGATTTTAAAACTTTGATTTGTGTTATATGTAAATATAAGCTTTTTTCCCAAGGCTTACATAAAAGAAGTCCTATGCCATTTCGCTTACCATGAGTGTGCCATGCCTTGTTTATAATACCACCTTGGTGGCTCGCATGTTTGTCATACATGTCGCTCCCACACACACCATCTTCAGTTTTGAAAAAGGGGAGGGTATTGCACAACTTTAGTGAACTCTGATTAGAACAGAGGCATCTTATCAGTGACAATTCCAAGGACTCCACTGCCATTAATACACCGCAGGTAAGAGAGAGCGGAAATTCTCTTTGCCCGGCTGGCAGTATAACAGCTGTCTCACCAAAAGGTCTGTAACTAGAAAAGTGAACTTTAAGGACACAATCTTCAGGTCTTTCAGCAAAGTACACACTAGATTGCGGTTCTTGAGGACAAGAAGTCTGTGCGCCAGTCCTCAGTGAAAAAGGATGCTGAATCTTGCTTACTTGGATTTTGTAACGATATCTTCTCTGAATATCTAGGGACGTTAGGCAAACAATTTTAGTTTTTGATATGAGTAAAATGTAGGAAATTTTTGGGACTCTTATCCCATCAGCCTTGAACCAGTACACTTAATCCGCCTACAACTCACACATTGATGGTCTCTTTTTTGAAGCCACCAAGGCTTGCTGCAATGACACCATGGCCAGCTTCACAATGTGTTCAAATAGAAATACTGTACTCAGCCCTGGCTGGCGTGGCTCAGTGGATTGAGCGCTGGCCTGCGAACTAAAGGATCACTGGTTCAATTCCCAGTCAGAACACATGCCTGGGTTGCAGGCCAGGTACTCAGTAGGGAGCGCTTGAGAGGCAACCACACATTGATGTTTCTCTCCCTCTCTTTCTCCCTCCCTTCCTCTCTCTAAAAATAAATAAAATCTTTAAAAAAAAAAAGAAGTATCTGTATTCATAGTCAAAGACATTGTGGGACTGTAAATTTACAGTTCAGCTTTGGTGATAATTGAACCACTATTTGGAAGCAAGATACTTTGGACAACATAAAAGTCTAATAGTTTGATAGATAGAAATGAAGATATACTAATTAATACCATCAGTCTGACACCAATGTAGCCGCTTGTTATTCCTTAAACACCTACTATTTAACATTATTACATTAGGCAATGGATAAATACATTGAAGTGCAAGGCATCCATATGTCTTTCTGTGCCTGGAGAACTAATGCCATATATTTCCTGATCCTCTACTTTATGCTAGGCAATTGAAGTACGTATGTTAGTATACACTTGTCAGAATGGTGAAGTTCCAGCGTCTGAAGGGAAATGCTTGGAATCTGGGCAGTGTTCCCCAGAGTCTGCACTCTCCACACCTTTACTGGTGTCCTATGTACCCTGAGGAACGTCATCAGCTCCCTTAGCCAGTTCTCACGACTCTTTCTAGGTCTCACTCACACAAGCCAGAATGTCTCCCCTCATCCCTCTCTCACTGGTTTGTGGGTGTGTAGCACTGAATAGCACTGTTTGCACAAGACACCTGTGAGTTCAAGCCTGAATGCTTCCCTCATGGCACGCCCCGCACCCAGCACTGTCCTGTGTGCTGAGAGGAACACTGAATGGACAGCAGACCTGGGAAAACCAGTTACAAGCACTAAGGAAGCCAAAATGGATGGGAGATTTTAATCCATTTAAAGATTATGTGTGTTATTACATGGAGGATGATGAAGAGCTACTTTTTTTCCATGGGGAGAGCATAATGACATAACCCTGTTTCAGTTTAACACTTGACATTTAGATTAAAAATCATGAGACTCAATTTAAAGGTTTCTAGAAATTGAATGAGAAAAGAAACCATAGAATCTCAAACCAAAGAATCTTTTTAATGAAATTATTTTAAAATAAACCAAAACTTCTCCTCTTTGATATCTTTTGAGGCTGATCTATTTAGACAGGAGAGGGTTCATGACCAGTGTTTTCTAAAAGCTGGTCAGTGATGCAGTGAAATGGCCTACAAAAATGTATTTTTTGGTCATTGGGTTAAATTAACTCAATTTGAAAAATAATGCTGTTAGACTTTTATAGAATTATAAATTTTAGACTTCTCAAATTGTAGGTTATTTTATCCTTACTTAAAAGATTGTTTAATGGGTCATCAATTATTTTGTTGTTTGTGGTTAGCTTTGTTTTCTGTTTTGACTCTACATGTAGGTAAAATACAGAAGTCAGGCCACTGACCCAAATGATGGCTAAAGACCTCAGACTTATGATGCATTTGAATTGTTCAGTGTGTACAGGTACAACTGGTTCTTAAGCCCCAGGATTTACTGCACACAAAGGTGAAGAATGCAAAACTGACTGGAATATGCCCAATGCTCAAGAGAGAAGCCATGATTGCAAAAAAAATCTTTGTTCGACTATGTAATAAATAACGCCCTTCAGGGAGCTAGTCTGTATATACTTCAAGTGAACATAACACTCTCCCTGTCGTCTTGAATTGTTCCATCGAAGGACAAGCTACTGAAGAAGCTCAAGGGCATTTATGATGCCCTGAATTAGATGTCCAGACATAGACATCGTGGCGACCTCCTAACCTGGCCTGGATTCCTTGCCCTTGGCATGATCCTTTGGCAACCTGATAAGTGGAAAGAGTCCTAAATCAGGAAGAAGAAAACATGAGTTCTACTCCAGGCTTCACTGCTACTATATCAGATCTCAATTTCTTCACCTACAAAATAGTAATAATAATAATAAATGCCTCCTTAGGTTACACATTATGGGGAACACTACCCTAAAAGTGATGCTTAAGAGTTGAAAACATTTCATTCAACATTTATTTGCAAAC